ATGGAAACAGGTTTTATTTCTGGTGGTGTAGAGTCTATTTGGAAGTCCTCAATTATATCTGACACTTTCCATCCAGTGTTTAAAGGCAGAGCTGACTAGAATCAATAGAGTCCTTGTCTTGTCTCAGTAATCGCTTGAGCAAAAATCATTGATAAAATCTTGTGTAGACTGACCTCAGATTCAACATGCAGGCAGTGTGTTGAAGGGCAGTGCAAAGGAGGCAATGGTGGTGAGGTACCATATTGTGAAATCAATGGTGCTGAAATCACCAAGGACTGGAATTTGACCACAGAACTGACACTTTAATAATTTGACCACTTTTGCTATTTAAAAAGTAAATCAATGTAACAGAAAACTGCAACGCTCTCTGGTAACTTTTTAAAAATCAAACTTTAAACTTTATTGAAAAAATCGGATAGTTTGCAATTGAAAATATTTGACCTACATATAAGGCAACTGATTTAATTTTGTGTAAAATTTTGCATAATAAAGGATTGCATTTTTTTTAAATGTTCAGTTATATAGATATACATTTTGATCAGACCTACTTGATGTGATATTTGTGTGGTTGTGTGTGGTTGTGGGTGTGTGGTTTTTTTTTTTTGGAGGGGGGGGCACCAAAACGGTTCGAATTGGGCCCGGCACTTCCTAAAGCCGGCCCTGCCTGCGGCCAGGGGAGAAGGAGAGCATCTCCCAGTGAGCCCCATCCCTGTCCCATGAGGGAGCAAAATCGGTGGCACTTCCTGTTCTGCCCTGTAGCGAAGAGGTCCAGATGGGGAGACCCCCACGCATGGAAGACAGATTGGGCTACATCCCATTCAAAGACCATTTGTGTCCTCCAAAGGACCTGCTCAGTTTGTCCGCCAGGATGTTTTGAGAGACCGGGAGGTACAAGGCCTTTGGGTGGATATCCGCCCCGATGGTGAATTGCCTCCAAGCACAGGCTAGGGGAATGAGCCCCACCTCACTTGTTTATATATGCTAGCACTGTCGTGTTGTCCGATAGGATGACGACAGACTTATCCCTGAGGTGGGGAAGGAAAACCGCACAAGCCAGTCAGACTGCCCAGAGCTCCCTGATGTTGATATGCCAGGAGATCTCATCTGTAGACCACATACCTTGTGTGTGGAGGTCTCCCAGGTGGGCTCCCCAGCTGGTATCTGAGGCAGGCGGGCGGACGGTACCGGCCATGCACTTGGTCAAGACCCGAGGGGCCGTGGAAGTACCAAATGGTAGGGCCGTGAATTGGTAGTGGTCCAGGCCCACAGAAAATCTGAGGAATTTGCGGTGGTGGGGGGCAAAGGAAATGTGAAAGTAAGCGTCTTTTAAGTCTAGGGCAAGTGAGGGCATTATGGACGCCAATGTTACCATTTTGAACTTTCTTTGGCGATGAAGGAGTTGAGGGCTCTTAGGTCCAGGATGGAACACAGGCCCCCTTTGGCTTTCGGGACCAGAAAGTAGCGGGAATAGAACCCCATCCCTCGAAACTCAGGGGGAACGCGTTCTACTGCCCCTATGATAAGGAGATGTCGGACTTCCTCTTGAAGCAGAGGCTCGTGAGACGGATCTCTGAAAAGGGACAGGATAGGGAATTGGGAAGGGAGTGGAAAGGGATTACATAACCCCTTTCCACTATCTCGAGCACCCAGTGGTCCGAAGTGACCGACCGCCAGGCTGGGGTAAAATGGGATAAACGGTCCCAGAAGAGAAATGGGGAGACTGGAAGGTTGCCCTTGTAGGTCCCATCAAAAGCCCTGATGGGTACTGGAGGGTTTGTTGGGGGGTCCCTGGTTGTGATCAGGGGTCAGGCAAGGGTGACGCCTGTTGTTCCTGCCATTACCACTTCTACTCCTACAGCGGGAGAAGTCGGTACACGGACCCTGGGGAGGTGCTCTAGAAACATTCCTAATAGGGAGGGGAGCCTCAGGGTGGACAGGGTGTGCATGCCCAATGATTTTAGGGTAGCATGGGTGTCTTTCAGGCCATGGAGCCTCTGGTCAGTTTGCTCAGAAAAGAGCGAGGGGCCTTCAAAAAGGAGGTCTTGTATGGTGTTCTGGAGCTCTAGGGGAACCTCAGAACCCTGTAGCCAGGAACTGCGGTGTAAGACCACCCCGGAGGCCATTACTTGGGCAGCAGCATCCGCCACGTCTAGAGCCGCCTGGAGAGCCGCCCTGGAAATCGTTCTCCCCTCCTCGTGGAGAGCTTTGAATTCTGCACGGGAGTCTCGGGGAAGTAGGTCCATGAATTTGTCTATCGATGCCCAGGTGTTAAAAGCATGCCAGGACAAGAGGATCTGTTGGTTTGTAATGCGGTACTGGATACCACCGGGCGCGTAGACGTTTCAGCCTAGCAGGTCAGTTTTCTTAGCCTCCCTGTTCTTAGGGACAACGGCGGGTTGACCTTGTCTCTCTCTCTGATTCACAGCTTGTACCACAAGAGAGCCCGGTGGAAGGTGGGAAAAAAGATGCTCATTACCTTCCTGGGGAACAAAGTATCTCCGTTCAGCCCACTTATCCGTAGGGGGGATGGATGCGGGAGTCTGCCACAAGGCTTTGGAGATCTTGGCCACAGTTTTGTTAATTGGGAGGGCCACTCTAGAGGGAGCATCCCTGTAGAGGATATCCACTGTGGGATCGGAGTCATAGGACACCCTATCCGTCTGGACTCTCAAACTTTGGGCCAGACATTGGAGGAGGTCTTGGTGGGCCCTGGTGTCCATAGAGGCCATGGATGATCCAGGGTCTCCCAGAGCCTCATCAGGGGAGGAGGACGATGATCCCTTTTGAACTTCTCCGACAGATACCCCTGAAAGTGCCAGATCCTACTGCGTGCCAGTGGACAAGGGTGGGGGAGGTTGGCTCACCGGAGCCACACTCCCCGAAGGACCAGGAGACTGCTGGCTGGGAGGCAGTGACTGGCCAGAGGTTGGCGATCTGACCAGTGGGGTCACCAAGGGAGGGGCCCGAGGACCTGATGTGACTGAAGCCAACCTGGAAGGAGGATTTCCCTGGGTTTGGTGATACGCCCAAGGAGTCCAAAATGGCCACTGGGCCAGAAGTTTAGGAGGCCACGATTGCTGGAGCACCGGTACCGGGACTGGTTGTGTCCACTGCTGCTGGTATTGACGAGGGGAACTATGGTGCCAGGAGCGGTGCTGCAAATGGGAGCGGTGTCGCAACTGGGACCAGGAGCCCCGAGAAGAGCAGGTGGATTCCGCCTCAGAGTTAGACGTGTACTCCAAGGCAGACCAGGGAGAAGCTGAAGCAGACACCTGCGGAGCGGTTACATGCCTGACCATAGATTCCGGCTTCCCACGGTGCCAAGACGACAGTGCAGACATCCGGTGCAGAGGTAGGTGCCGGAATGCTGTGAGCTGGTGCCAGGGTATAATACCGCGGTGTATCCGGTGCCACGTCCTGATGGGGCACTGCAGGTAGGGATGCACCGCTGGTCGGTGCCAGTGGAGCCAGGAGGGGAAGGCAGTGGGCCCACGCCTCCAGTGCCGTGGTCTCAGGCTGTTTGACAGCCGGTGCCAGGACGTCCCACGTTGCCTGGAAGGCATTAGAGTAGGGGGCAGTGAGGGGGAAGAGACTATGAGCACCCTTGCCGCTTCTAAGGCCTCCGGTGTGGAGGGTTCAAGAAAGTCCTCCAAGGGGCTCGGCTCCCTACGCTGGGAGGAAGGTCTGCCTGACCTGGAAGGTCTGGGCTCCAGACTGGCCGGCGCCACGTGCCCCATTGCAGGACGCATGGAGGGCGTGTGCCTAGCAGGGGACCATCCGCTGTTAGGCCTCCTCCTCTTCTGCGGTGCCAGAGACTGAGACCAGTGTCGAGGTCTCTTCAGTTCCAGTGAGGCACTGTGCAGAGGGGAGTCCCACACCGACACTGCCTCCATAAGGATGATCTTAAGACGAAATTCTCTCTCGTGTTTCATTCACGGCTTGAATGCTTTGCAAATTTTGCAGGCTTCAGTGAGGTGCGTCTCTCCCAAGCACTTTAAACACGAGGAATGAGGGTCGCCCTGGGGTATACGTTTGTGGCACTTTTTGCAGGACTTAAAGCCTTGCGGGCCAGGCATTTTCTGCCACGGGTACACGGCACGCCACAGCGGGAAACAGCAACAAAAACAACAAAGAACAACAAAAACATTTTTAACTTAACTACAAGTACTTAAGCTAACTGAAGAAACAGAGAACAATACAGAAGACAACTATCGCTAGACGAGCTGAAGGTTGTTCCAACGATCGTCACGGCGGTAAGAAGGAACTGAGTGGGTGAGGGGGCCAGCAGGGGTATATATGGGCCGATATACCGATGCCACTCCAGGGGGCTCCCCGCTGGCCCTAAGGGTACTGCTGAGGGAAAAACTTCCGACAACGCGTGCACGCTGCACACACACACCTAATTGGAATGCACATGAGCAATCACTGGAAGAAGAAGCTCTATTTATTCATAACACATAACCAATCCCATGGATTACACCTGCAAGATGAGAAATGTTTTACTTGCCTCAATGACACATATTTGTGGTTCTTTCTTGTCACCGTCCACAGGAACCTTTGCCTGATTCATCACCCATTCTTGAACAGCATCAGTAATATGTGGAACAACTGCAAGGCAAAATGAGAAAAGAAAGCATTTCATAGTGTAGAACCTCATATTACTCCCACTTAGAGGACAAAAAAAACTACAATAATAGAGCTGGGGGGAGATGAAAAAGGGCAACAGCAGGCCCATAGCAAGTTACTCCTTTCTTTGAGTCTGCAGAAGTCCTTCCAGAAGACTGAAGTATGGCTACATCTTGGTGACAAAAAAGAAGGGTTGACTTAAGGCAGCAAAGAGCTGCTGCTCAATGTGGTATGCCCCCTCCAAAATCTGAATGGATGAGCATGCCACCACTTTGCAAATTTCAAAGGATGTTCCTGAATATTTATAGATGCAAACACTAGGGCTGTCAATTGACATGAGTTAACGCCTGCGATTAACGCAGTCCAGGATTAACCGTTAAATTTTTTAACATTTTAATTTCAGGCGTTAATCCTGTGCTGCACCTTTGAAGTGACATTGTAGCACTTCAAAGGGGCAGCACAGCACGGAGCCCAGGCTCAGCTGGGGATTCCCCAGCTGACCCCAGGCTCAACTGCCCCTTTGAAATGCACAGAGATGGAGTTTCAAAGGGGCAGACACCTCACAGCAGAGCTGGGGATCAGCTGTGTGGCGGCATCCTCTTAGAAATGCCGTCTCCACGTGTTTCAAAGGGGCAGTGGAGCCTTGGGTCAGCTGGGAACACCCCAGCTGACCCTGGGTTCTGGGGCAATGCCACGCTGGAGCCCTCCATCAGCGGGGAATCCCCAGCTGACCCCAGGTTCCATGGCTGCCCCTTTGAAACACCGCCTTGGGGTTTCAAAGCGGCAGCGCCACACAGCTGTGAGGTGCTGCCACTTTCAATTACCCCTCTCTTCCTCCTTTGCTGCTTCTATTATATATCTAGAGTCAGCAAAAGACGGGGGTGAATCGACTAGTCTTTTCCTACCGGGGATCAGCTGGGCACTCCTAATGTGCTGCTCCTTTGAGGCACCAGGGTGGCGTTTCCAAGAGGCAGTGCAACGCGGAGACCGGGATCAGCTGGGCACTCCAGCTGATCATTGGCTCCGTGTTGTGCTGCCCCTTTGATGCACCACTGTGGTGCTTCAAAGGGACAGCGCTGCATAGAGCCCTGGGGCAGCTGGGGACTCCAGCTGACCCCAGGCTCTGCCTTGCACTGCCCCATGGAAACGCTGCCCCCACACTTCAAAGGGGCAGTGCTGCATGGAGCCTGGGGTCAGCTGGGGACTCTAGCTGATCCCAGGCTCCATGCAGTACTACCCCACTGAAACACTGCCACGGCATTTCAAAGGGGAAGAACACATGATTAATCGTGATTAAATTTTGTAATTGCTTGACAGCCCTAGCAAACACATATGCAAGTAATATTTGATTACTGGAATACAAATGGGAAGCAAACTCCGCATGGACTAACTAGAGGACAGAATAATGTGCTCAACTAGAAGACATGGCAGCTTCAGCACACTTTCCTACTGTATTCAAACGGTTCTTGACCTAAATTAAGCTATAATTTCAGTTGGCAATGTATCAGCAAAATTGTGATAAATACAGAAAAGTGTGTGAAGTGTGCACCCAATAATGCAAATATATCAATATCCCTCTGAGTGAATAAAAGTTACTTGTGTAATTGTTCTAAATAGTCTTTATTCGACACTCAAAATATTTGCATGAATTTAAATGATATAAAAGCACCTTGAACTGTTTTTCCCAAATAATCTCCATGTCTTTCTTTATTGATTACATGTTGATAAATCTTTCCAGTAGTGATGTTGTTATCTTTATATAGGTTAATGTCCAAGAATCTTTCATAATTTCCCAAATCTAAGTCAACTTCTCCACCATCATTTAGTACAAAAACTTCACCTGAAAAAGAAAATGAAAAAATAAAATATAAACTGCACTCAGTTTCCTCCTACATTAACACACAGGAAAGCAATGTAATGATTACAAATTACTAAATAAATGACGGAAATTTTGCAAACATAATAAATACATTTTAGTAAAGGTGCAGTATAAATAAGTACCATGAACTACAGCATGCTGTTTCAGTTATCTTGGGCTCACACTGGGGTAAAATTTGCATGAGTTACTTAATAAGTTTTGAACATTTTAACCCTAGTTTTGATTTGTTTCATCATAAATACCTGGCTCATCCTACTCACAGCTAGAGGCCACGGAAGTCAGTGGACTGTTTCCATTGAAGCCATAGAACTTTGGATCAAGCCCAGTGATATTTTTCTACCTCTAAAATTGCCTCTTTTAAACAGTAACTTTTATCATTCGGTGAGGGAATCACACCTGTTGCCTCCAATATGGCTCCATATGAAATCTGATAGGAAAGTGCTTTGGCAGAACTGAAAAGTACCTGAGGAAAAGCCTAACTCTTACACATCAATGGCTGGATAATTTAATGGATTCATCTTGCAGAAACGAAGACAGAATCTTCTTAACATAATCTCTTAGGGTGTGTCTAGACTTTTAAAGTGGACTTTTGTCGACAAAACTATACCTGCGTCTACACTACCGCTGAGTTCTGTCGACATAACGTCGGCAGAACTCAGCAGTTTTGTCGACGCTGGTAAACCTCATTTTACGAGGCATAACACCTTCTGTCGACAGAGTTCTGTCGACAGAGTTCTGTCGACAGAAGGTGTTATTGCCTGTAGGGTTGCGTCTAGACTACAGGGTTTTGTCGACAAAGCAGCTTGCTTTGTCGACAGAATTGAATGTGTCTAGACGCTCTATGTCGACAGAAGTTTTGTCGACAGTATCTGTCGACAAAACTTCCGTCAACAAAACCCTGTAGTCTAGACGTACCCTTAGAATGTGTAAATACACAGTTGCAATGTAAAAATGTGCCCATCAGGATATGACAGCCTCTTGGAACAAATAATGAAAGAAAATGCACTGAATAGATGATTTACAATCTGATCTTGTGAGGTATTAAATTCCTCCAGTGAGCTATTAATTTGCCATTTAAGAGTCATAGGGAACTGAATATGTTCACCACTGTCAATAACAGACTCTTTGAAAATAAAGAATGAGGAAACTTTGGCTAATTGGGAACCATAAAAAGAGTAATCTGGGAACCCTGACCTGTAGGTTCAGCTAGCTACAATTACATTGCTGACAGTGTTTTGATCAGAGACCTATCCTTCTATGCCTGCCAGGAGGTTACTTGTAAGACTTAATTGATAAAAAAGGCTACTCTGCAAACTCTGAGGAAGACTTGCAATCTGTTATACTGTACTAATGGGGAAAAACTGGCATATTTCCAGACTACACAGACTACTTTTTTAGAAGCTGACTCAATACCTATTCAAATCAGGGAGATTTTTTTCCATTGATCTCAATGAGCATTGGTTCAGACCTTTTAAAGAGAGCAAATGTTTTGGGGATTGAATAAGGTAGTCTATCATATGATCTAAAGCACTGAAATATGCCTTTCTGTCTCTTGTTAGATGACACTGAGACAAGGAAAAAGGACAAATTTATATATTTCAGTCATCTGAAAAAGTCTAAACATTTACTGGAACCACAATGCCATATATAAATTAACCTGGACACACATAAGATGGGAAACAAGAAGCTACATAACTGTTTTAATTCTATTTACATATAAATATATTTAGACATTGTTTTTTACATCCAGTTTTGAATTAATGGCCCATTTTCTTCACTAATGCAAGCTATGAGAAGTAAACCTGATGAATACTGACTCAAGGCTTAAGCGAATAATACAAGAAGTACAGCTAGGCAGCTCCACTGCATAGGCTAAGCTAAAATGTAGCCTACAAAATCTTAGCCCTGGATCAGGATATTTTTCCTTTTTATTTCTTTTATTTTTCCTTTTTAAATATACTTTTTTATTTCACAAATTTTTAAAACCATAGGAGTTCATTTTATGTGGATGCTTTTTGTCACCTGTTTAATTCAAATATTAATGTGGTTTAAAATCTATATGGCAAGAGATTAGTCCATAAAATAATTGCTGATATTCTTTTAAAATTACTAATGAATAAAAAATCTAATAATAATTTCTATCTTAATAAATATGAGGGCAAAATTCTACCTTCAGTTAAACTGTACAACATCAGTGCAGGACACAGAATTACATGAACATAATCTAGTGCAAAATCTGGCCCTCTCATTTTAAAATTCACGTACTGAAAATTTACAACAGCTTCCAGTAATATGCTTCAGTAATGCAAACAGGCTTAATTAATGTTTGTAAAGCATTTTGAAGATTGTGAGTGCTATTATATTATTATTATCAGCAACAAGTAAAAAAAATAGACAACTTTTATCTGATAATATGAGCCATTATATGATCTATTGTTAATAGACAACTTTTATCTGATATGAGCCATTATATGATCTATTGTTAAAACAGTGGTATGTATTTAGGTATTTAGGCACACAATGAAATCTTTATTAAAATATACTAATCCGCATACAGCAAAGGAATTTTTATCATCACCTTTTGTAATAATTTTACTGAACTGCTTGTTATAGTTATAGCTTGTTATATCTGAAACAGGATTTTCTTTTCCTTTATAATGAATGAACACTTGTTTACTTACTTAGCTACTTTTTTATTTAAATGAATATCGCTAGTGAAAATTTCCAGTTAGTCACGTAACAAATAGCACAACTTGATATTTATGAGGTATAAGTTTTCTAGAATTATAGACTAGAAATGCTCACTAAGACTGCTTTAAAGCTAAAGTATAGACTAGCAATATTGTTACTGAATTACCTGAAAAATATCTTGTCAAATATAACATAAAACAAATAACTCCTAGGATATGTCTACACTACAGGCTTTTGCCGGTAGAGAGTATGCTAATGAAGTGCTCATTAGCATTTGTCATGCTGTCATTTGCATATTCTCTGCCGATTTTTTTGTGCAAGACGGACACGTCTACGCTGCTTGTTTTTGCGCAAAACCTCTTGTGCAAAAACCACAGCAAGAGAATATGCAAATGGCAGTGTGACAAATGCTAATGAGCGCTTCATTAGCATACTCTCTACCGGCAAAAGCCTGCAATGTAGACATAGCTTTAGAGTCTTTTGCTTTTCACCCATGAAGATGGCTAAGAGTATCACCAATTTACAAATGAGACACAATTTCTCAAAATTAGCCAAAAATGTGCATCTAAACAAGTGATTTGAATTTCAGAGATGAACAAATAGGGACTTAGATCCAAATTAACGTGAGGTACTCATATTTGAAACGTATTCAAAAACAATTTACTTATAGCCTATAGGTATTAGTAGGTAAGACATAGGCATAAATTAAGGCAGTAATGCAATGTGCCTAAAGCCTCAAGGCCTGCAAGACAATAGCTTAGCTCAGCAATTTTCAAAGAAGGGCAAGGTGGCCATATGCAGCCACAAGTGGATTTTTTTGTGGCCATGACAACCTCCAAAGCATGGGTTGAGATTGGAAGAGAAAAAGCAGCGACCCCTCCTTGCAGCATTCAGATGCTGCTCCTGAATAGCTGTTACCGAGGGCAATGAGATGCACTGCCTTGGTGTCTGCACTAGTGCCACCACCAGGGCTCAGCCCACTGCACCACACAGCCTCCTCATAGGTGCCAAACAGCACCTCTGGAGACATGTGAGACTGGTGTACACAGCGCTGGAGGTGGCTCTTGTCAGTGGAGGCAGCTGCGGTATTAGGTCACTGGAGCACTCCTTTGTAACCTACCTGGCCCAGGCAGGGGCAGTCTAGGACTCCATAAGTGGCCAGTGAGTTCCCAACTCACAGTCCCCAGATCAGGTTCTCACTGAAGAGCCAGGGCAGGCAGAAACAGAGAGATTAGTCAGCGCTTCCCCTGCCTGGGGCCACAACTGACTGTTTACATGTGCTATAGTTATTGCAGTAGCTCAGGGCTGCCTCTAGGCTTGGCAGCTTCCTGACAGGGTGAAGGGCTCCCATTCCATGACACACACTGAGCACAAAAACAGAAGTGAAGGCTGGGTGCACTGAAGGGGGAGCTCTACTTCCTACTGCCTTCCTACTACATAAATAAATGACAATGGTTTGGAGATGGACATGTGCATATTTATTTGTTTTTCCTAAAGTTAAATATTTTCATAATACCAGCAAGAATTGATGGCCATACTCTGAGACCACCAAAAATATACTGTGAGACACCCACCCTCTCTGGCTTAGCTAAACCACCCTAGGCCTAAGGTGCAAAAGTGAATCAGGAGTAACCCTAGATCATAAGGTATCACAAGACAGAATGGTGTAATAAGCAAATATGATTAAACCATTGGCAGGTAATCACAAGATGTCCATTTGCACTGGGGCTTTAGATATTTTAAGGAGCATCAGGAGATATCCTTCCACAAGAATGCCATAGTCACTAACTGACGAATATGCTATGTTCAAAGGCCTAGTAACTTATGGAAGAAAAGAAATACAGATAAAAAAGGGCTGAGACCCCAACTGAATATACATTAGGCACAGTGGGAATCAGCTTAACACACAAAAGCTGCACTGCAGCCTGTGTTCCTTGCCAGAGGCCAAGATGATGACTGCTGGTAAAGATGACAATGAGGGTGATGAGGATGATTTTGGGTTGTTTGTCAAGAGACGGTGTAAGCATACGGGATGCTCAGACATTCATTTTATATTATTTTTATCCTCTTTGTTGGGTTTGAAGTGTTTGTGATATTGTTAATAGTGCTAATAAAAATGCAACAAAAGTAGAAGGCCTTTCTGAAGTGTGCATTTCTTTGCTGTGCTCAGCAGGGTTCTCATCATTGTGATAATTCTCATGCTTCTGGGTCTGATCATGAGCCAGGGCCCTCCCAACCCAGAGAACATTACTGGGATTTGTAATAGATCA